CCAAATATATATAAAATATAAATACAAGTATATAATAAATATATATAAAAATAATTAGCACTGACCTGATGCACAGTGCAAGAAATCGTGCACATTTGTGAGCTATGCTCCGCCCAGCCTCAAAGAAGCAAACACGTATTATATCTGAGACACATTTACGTGTTTTAGAAAGCAAACTGTCATTTCCTTCCTTTGAGCTGTAAAAACAAAGTTGCATACTTCAGAGAATCATATAAAACTTTATTTTATTTTTTTTTTAAACAGAGCTGATACTGAGAAATAGCCATGCTAATTTAAACACAATTTCTCTCTTACCTGCCAGGTCCATTTGAATACACTCCAGCCAGCCAACAAAGTGTGTCCAGTACAAGACTCTGAGCATGTTCTGTAGTCAGACCATCATCTGTCTTCTTGCAAAGAGTGGTGAGCAGCTTCTCATGGAACTCTGAAAACTGTAACATGGCACACCGTTGAACTCTAGGGAGGAGGGGAGGAAAATAAAAACCAGAATTATCCAATATGGCCATTCTCCCACAGAAGTGTCCCTCCAGCTTTATACCCTGTCTTAGGAGCGGCAAATAGAAGATGCCTAGATAAAACTAGTACACAAGCATATATGATATTTTCCATGCATACATTCCCAATCTTACTATTTTCTCCTCACAGAACTTCCTAGGTTACTGTATATTTAGTAACCTTCAGAGAAATTTTTTTTTTCCTATTAACTTGTCCAGTAACTTCTAAATCTAAACAAACTTTCATCACCTCAACACTTTCTGGCAACCATTTGCACATACCTCTTTGCAGCCTCTTTGACCTCTTTAAGCCCATTACAGCCAGTGCCACCACTGTGGGGTGGCAGTTGGTAATACAAATTAAATACTATATTATTCATATTTAGGTCTGTAGTACCAATCCATAGAGACTTTAATCAGTTTTTTGAGTAACAACTTATTAGCTAAATTTGATTCTAAGCCTTTTGAAAAATAATATACTCTCTGCTGTAAGAAACAAGACACCATGTGGGGAAAAGAAAAAAGAAAGGAAAGATGCTTCCTGTAAAAAAAAAAAAACTGTCCAAACAATTTATCTAATTTACCAAGAAAACTTATTTACATTTGCCTTTTCAAGTCAGGTAAATAATCACTCAACATACAATTTCATGCATGGTGTTACTCTACCACAACTTGCACAGCACAGTGCCCTTGAGCTCACAATTCACACTATTTTCCATATAAAATACGTTTATGCAATGACAACTTGAAACAGTGGTTTGACCTGAGCTATTTTGAGAATTAAGTTATTTTACGAGAAGTGTAACTAAAGCTAGTATTTTTTTAGAATTAAAAAACACCTACTAACCTTTCCTTTGAAATAGAAGTTTTTTTAAATCTTCGAATTGTTACGGAGACTTCTTGAAGTAAGTCACAGCCTCTCAGATTATCTGATTTTCTTGAAGAATTAGTAGCTTCAATTTTGCCAGATGGCTTTTCCTGATTTTTTTGGGGAGGAAAAAACAATTAATAAATCATGTTGGTTTTGACTTTCATTTGTATACCTTGTTCAGTGAAATGCATACAGTTCAGTAAAATCTCTCACTCAGTTTGAGCATTGTACTAAAACAGACTACTTTTATTCACTAATGGCTTTAATACAGAACATCAAATTTAACCACGTCCTGTAATTTACTATGATCTAACCATTCTAATAATGTCCACAAGGTGTACATCATATCATCCCATCTTACAACTACAATGATCAAGAGTAAAATACACACACAAAAAATATCTTCATAAGAGGATGAGGTGTATCAGCTACTGAAAACACTCATGGAAACAGAAGTTTCAAACAGAAGTTTCAAAAACAAGTGCTCAGAATGGGGAAGTCGCAGAACAGATCTTTTCAACTGTATTTGCACAGAAGAAACAACTTAGAGATGTTGAAGTCTGGTTCTTGAAGGTGTAAACACAGTGTCAGCTCTTAAAAAAGTAATTTTTAAAGGACCTTAATGCTCCTCACAGCTGTTTCATTTTCAGATTACATAAATCATACCAGTTCTACAACTTTAACACAGATGTCTTTCTTGGCTATTCATTACCTTGCCTGCTGCAACTTTTGCCAACAATGAAGCAAGGGAATGGCCCTTGTTAGTCTGAGGTTTTAGAGATGGTATTCTAACAACTGGTCTAATGCCACCATTGCAGATTTCTTCTGTTCCTCTATCATTCACTGCTTTAACATGAATTAAAAATGAGCGGTACTTGCCACCAGCCATGCCTAAAAGTGGGGAAAAAAAAAAAAAAGCGGGGGGAAGAATTTGCATAGTTTACTAGGGTAAGTTTTAAACACATTTCAACTTCACGATACAGTGTACAAGCAGAGCTCAATTACATTAATTACAGTACTTCAGCATCAGTCTGAAAAGGTAACACATTATTGTGTCATACAGCAAAATTTGTCACTGTGAAAATACATACAAACCAAAGTCTGACAACAGAATTATGAGATGCACTTTAGTCACACATACTTCATGTGAACAGCATAATAAACTGGTTTACCTTTAACAAGCTTTGGACTTGTTAGTGTTAACATTCCAGAATGTCCCGATAGATCAAGTCCAGTAGCCAGCCATACTGGACCACAAAGTATATCTTCTTTGTGTTCCTCCAGAAATGGACACAATCTAAGACCTTAAAAAACATGAGTGATATGGACCTGAATTACTCATAATTAAGTCACAAAATCTGATCATTTGCATGGGTTAAAAATACACCATGTCAAACTCTGACCACTAAATACATATAAACTCTACATCAAAAAACTAACAATTACTTGAGGTTCACTTTAAGCCATTTTCCAGTGAAATCAACAGAGGTGAGTGACCGTTTTCAAAGCATTTTGAGTTATATTATATGGATAATATGTACGTTGACTGGCTCAGAGATGTAAAATACAAAACTGATAAAATGATGAACCAGTATATTTTGATCCACAACTCTCACTGGGTCTTTTTTGAAGCAGGACAGAACTGCTTAAAGGACACACACACACACGCCCCCCCAAAAGACTAATTTGTTCCTCCTCTGGTATATTGAAATTATCATTCACTCATCTTTGTCTTCTTTCTCAGCATGAAAAAAACTCCTTCCAGCACTTTTTCTTTTATCACCCCTTTGATCCCTCCCTCCCATCCTTTGCAACACCTTTCTTGGAGTCATAGAATCACAGAACGGTTTGGGTTGGAAGGGACCTTTAAAGTCATGCTCTAGAAAAGCCTGATCACATGAAAGGAAAGAAGGTGTAAAGTAAGACTGTTGAAAGGACCAAGAAAAAAGGATTATAGTTCTGGAACTGATTCACTCCAACTACCAATTTCTAGTCTGTAGCCCTCCTCATTCGGATCCAATCTGATTGCCTTTCAGAGTCTATCTAACAGGTTTTGTGGAAGAGTACTGATTAACAGAAAAGGTTATAAAAACAGACACAGCAAGTCTGACACAGCTGAAAATTAACATCATTAGTTATGAATTCTTTACCAGCTGATTATTTTTCCTGGACTACAGCAGCAGTCTCTACAAAAGCCAGGTATGCAAAGAAAAATTCTATTAAGACTAGCTAAGGAAACCAAGTACAATACTGCTGGAACAGGGTAAGAGTTTAAGTTAGAAAGGTGCCATATCAGTCTACCATATTTCTAAATTCAGATAAATACTAATCTGCTTTTAAGCACCAAAACTGTCCAGGGTTGGGGTTTTTTTTTTGGTGTGTCTGTGCTAAACTTGCCACTCATACAGTAAACAGACCAGTGAGAGAGGCAACATTGAACAGGGCTGAGAAATCAGTCTGTTTTCAATGGCTGAGAAATTTTTGCAGAGAAATTCCAGTATATCATTAAAAAAAGAAAAAAGCAAGTTCATATTTTAAACAAGGTATAACAAGATAAATAAAACTTACACTGTGGTTCCTCTACATCCATATACTGCATTTCTTCATTGAATTCAACCAGTCCTGGTTTTCCATTTCTCTCCACTTCAATATTATGAGCTGGAGATAAAGGAAATGTGATCTGTCTGTCTACTGCTGCTTCTGGAAATAAAAATATTAGCAAGATTTCATAAAAATTGCTTAAGGCTCACAGAAAACAAAGCAGTAGTTTTCATATCAAATTTATGAGCTTTCTGCCCACAACACTATTTCTAATATAGGCATGTTTTTCATATTAGGATTGCAACTGAACTTGCAGCAAACAGTTAAAAAAAATATTTCTTTGAATGACCTGTAAACAGCCTGCTTTATTTTAACACTGCCAAAATTATTTTCTCCTAATAATCAACTGCAGATTACTCCTAAGTAATTAGAATCCAGTATTGAAAGTTCGATAATTAAAACTGAAAATAACTGGATTGCTCCTGCTGAAATTTTGATAACAATTAAGTACAGCTCTTTTTTTAATTAAATGGTTCTCATGAATCATAGATGAAGAGGACATGCAAGCAAATGAACAAGAAGCATATACAGTGAATTAACTGCCAGATCAAAACCATTACTTCCAAACCAGAACAACTATGCCTCCGGCCTTCCTGTTATTACACACTACACATTTAACTGGTTCCAGGGTTCCTGTCATACAAAAAACAACTGAATAAACTCTCCCCTACAGATCTTCCTTAGGTCTCATTATCTTAAAATGTCAGTTCCTTTTGCATCCTAGGGAGGGAGAAAAAGGAAGGGGGGGAGTTAACTGAATTTCAGTCTGAAGATTTTATACCTTTTTAAGAGCCACCAAACAATCATGAATATTACTTTTCCCTGGGATTAGGACATTTTGGTTAATGACCAGCACAGATATAAATTATCTAGGTTTGACTTCCCTTATACTGAAATAATTAATATTCTATTACTTCACTCAGTGGTGCATAGAAAAAAAGGCAAGTGTCATTAAGGTCCTTTTCCAAAACCCAAGAAATTGAAAAAGGGTAGGAAGCAACTACAGCGCAGTAACACTTGAGAGGATGTTGGTGAGTTGAGGCTCCCCAATCCTACTGAATCAAAAAGAAAAAAAGACCTTGCCAAGGTTGCCTCACAGGCACTCTCACATCCCCCAGCCCTTCCCAGACTGCCTGTGTATACCCTGGCCTTCCACTCCGTGCTCTCTCTACCCTATCTGTAACAGAAAAAAGCAAATTCCACTACACTACATGTAAGGAAGTGAAACATCGCTTTCTGGAAGAGCGCTGTCAGGTCTTATGTTCGGTATGCTGTACTGTAAAGCATCCATGAAAAGCTCTGGCAATTTATTTCATAGACAAATCAAATATCTTCAAAGAATTACCAACTCATGGAACTGTTTGCTCAACAATATTTAAAACCGAAACATTAAGGAAGAGAGTTTAGCATTTCTTCTACTGTTTTGTTTCACAGGCGAAGATTTTCAGATTAATTCTGACATCCAGATCTGCAAATGGACTGAATTCTAAAATTCATGCCAAAAATAAAGCAGAAAAGCAACACAGACTATCTGTCCTATTTTTTAATTTGATAGGACAGAATTCTGCTACATGTTAAAATTAAAGTTTTATTTCAAGAATTAAACAAAGGAAGAACCTGCAAGAACATCTGTTGACTGCTGTCCTGCAGTCTCAGCTAGTACTTCTCCTGAAACTGTTAAACCATCTTGTATGTTAGAAGAATAAACTTTTCTCCAAGAATGTTACTATGCTAGAATATTTTATTCTTGGCTAACCACCGGTTTATAGGATTTCTTTAAGGATCATCTCCAACACACTTTTTTTCCTTGTTAAACACTGGGGGATGCTACAGAGTGAGAAGTTGTATGAAAGTACGTCAGTGATCTTCGGTATGCCTGTATTCCTTTTTAAGATTTACAGCTCTGTTACCCTTGTTTAACTGGGGTGCTCCTAGTTCGCATTTAAAAAAATAGAAAAGAAAAATAAGAGCTTTTAAAATCATGCTTACTGTTCTCCCCAACACATTTTATATCCAGCAGCCAATTTAATAATATTCAACAGCAAGAATTCTCTGAAATACCAAGTTCCTAGAAGCTTTTTAAAGAGAGGTGGCCAGATAAATACAAGGAATTAATGCCTCAATAAAAGAAGTGCTGCATGTAATACCTTCCATCCCTAGCAGACAGGGCAGCAGGACATGCAATGAACACTCTCACCACAGGAAAATCCCAATGGAGGCACAAACTCTTCCACATCAAAGAAGTGACTTTTCAATTTATGCTACCCCCTCACAGGTTCCCTGAGAGCTAGTAAGATGCAGAGTCCAGCTAGGAGTCTTCCCAAGGCAAGAGCATTCATAACTTTGGTCTACCCTGTCAAAGCTGCAAGGAACAAAAGGTGAAATCATACTGCAGCTTAGTTAATGAGCCAGATTATGAGAGAATTCCCAAGGAAGCCAGGTTTTATCTACTATCATCAAAAAAAGCCTTGCTATTTTCTCTTACACATCCAAGAGGCAGTGGCAAATAATTTCCTTCTGTGACTTGGAATAATTTATTATAATTCTTTTAAAATATATCAAGAACTTAAAAGAACATAATTTGTTTCATCAGGCAATCTCTAGGATGATTTACAATTGATAACATTTTTTTTAATGACTGTAGGATTCAAGCAGTACAGAATAATAATTCAGTTCAAGCTTTTTGAGCTATGCACTTTTATTTCATATATAAAATACATATTTTTTATAGAGATATATAAAATTCAGGATTTCAAAACGGTTTACTCAGTTTGTTTCCCCAATTTACATTCAAACACGGTAAGTGAAAACAGGCCGTGATGCTGAGAAATAGAATAAAATGGAAATAAGTAAAACAAAAATATTTACACAATTTCACGCAATTCTTCTAACATACATCACAGAGAATAATGAGTTTGAGAAAAGGAATAATATTCTGAAAGATATCTTAAGCTCTTTCTTACCATTGACTTTCCCTAAGCCTGGAGCTTTATTTTTCAGCAAAGTCACTTGAATCTGGGGAATGTTTGTGATGTTTGAATTCAAAACAAATTTGAAGTCCACATGTCCAACCATACAGGCTTTTGGTAGAACCAGTTCAAAGACATGCTCATCCCAGCTGTTGCTGTCAGGAAAAAAGATGACAATGACCCAGTGGTAAGAGAAAATTCAGATCAAGCAGGCAGCATTACCCAGTGCGTTCTCCATCTATGCACACTTTCTTTAACAAGAAGAAAAAACTTATTTTGCATTAGTCGACATCCACATGAATTTCTGAAGTAAAAGTCTTTCAGGCTGCAGTTAACCACATTCATTCTGCGAAGAACACGGTAAAAGCCAATTGATAAGAGAGGGCAAACCAATGTTTGGATAAAAGTAGCAGTGAAAAGATTTCCTATTACCTTCATTACAGTACTGTTTCCATATTACTATAAATACCAGTTACTCATTTCTAGAAAAAAAGGAATGAGAAAGGAAAAAAAAAAAAACAATCACTAAAAAAGGATCTACCAATCAGTGAAGAGTATGAAAGCAAGCTTGCAATCTCTTAAGAAGGCCTTCTCCACACCTAAGTGTTAAACAATGTCACTTTCCAATGCTACAACAGCCACATCCAGGACACTCAAAATGCTAGTGTCAAATTATTTTTTTAAATATAGTTGATAATCTGTGCAGGATGAGAAGTGCTTCTTACCAGGTACACACTCAGAAGAAGCCTGCGCTGTGCAAAATGGGTGCAGCTTGCTTTAAATGACTCATGTTTTCCTTTCAAAGCCAACTTTGGTTTACACTGAAAGTGTAATCTTGAGGTAATAAGTACTCCTCAATGATCAGTTCCATAGTTTGATATTAAGGTTTGCAAAAAAGAATTCAAACCAAAGAGCAATTCAAATGAAACTAATCATGCATCAGTTGTCACAGGCGTATACATTTTTAAAATAACTGCACTTCCTGATCTTCTCAATTTATCAGTAAATAATTTTTTAAAATGTAGTAACTTTGACAGCCTGTGATTATTTAACTGTATAACTGAAAACACTAAGAAACTGAGCATGCTCTATAAATACGGGTTAGGTGTTTTTCTAAAATCTAAAATACAAGAAGTTATTTAAACCAAATAATATGCTACACATCGAGTATTGTGCAGAAAACCATTTTAAAATAGATTAAGGATTGGTACTAATATTTTAATTCTTTGCATGTTTTACAGTAAAATATCCCTGAAGGCCATATCTCCCTCAGCCAAGTATAATACAGTTATAATGGATTCCAGGTATGGATAATGAAATGGCACGCCAGCTTTCCAGAACAAGCAACACAGAAAAGCCATGATTTTGTGAGGAAAGATGGACAGAAGTGAAAGACGGACAGAAGAGAGCTTGTGGTTATGTTTTAAGAAGCAACAGTGAAGAATTTTCAGCTAACTGTACAAATAACTCAGGTAAATAAAATATAATGAAAATTTATCTTACAGCTCCAGGGAAAAAAACACCCTCCATTAGCAAATGTAACACTAAAAACTTAGAATCACTCATGCCTTTCCTCTGGCTTGGAGAATATGTAGCCCAGTGCAAAACAGGGAGAGATTTGGGGGTGGTTTTTCATGTCTGAGTATGCCTATAGGTGTCATGCAAAGCATGGACTGAATGAGACATTCAAAGGAGCAAGCCTTCTGAAAGACTAAGTAATATTCTGTTCATCTGGTTTCAGTTAAGATCTGGTACAAACCCAGAAATTAATAATAAACCAGTTTGTCTGCAGTACTCTTTTGTAGTCTGTGTGTTGCATATGATGCATCCTGCCGTACTGAGTTACAACTCTTATATGTCTTCTCCAGGAATCTATTTTTGACAGAATTCAGCAGCAGATGCCCCAAAGGAAGTTTTAAGTATCCCTCCATAGGCATGCATGGAATAATGATCCTCCATGAAGGTCTCGCATTAATCCAACAGCGAAGAGATCTTCCTATACGTGTGTCAATGAACTTCACAATCTAATTCTGTGATGAGTGAAAAACTCCCCTTTAAACTTTTTTTAAAATTTCTCATAGCTCTCTTTAAGCGCATCCTCTTTATTTGTGTGTAAAGTTTCAAAGAAGGAAAAAAATTCATTTACTTCCTTCTTATTTTCTCAATATTTTAGCATATCCATCCTAGGTATCACTTTTCTCTGATAATCTAATGCAAGTTCTTTTAGCAACTTTGTCACCTTTGAAACCCTTCTAAATCTATAGCATCTTTTTATAAAAGAATACACAATCAAGAATGTGTTCTAAATGCAAATATACCCTCATTCTACTACAAAATGTTTTCCAACACACTTGTTCATTCCTTTTCTAGCACACCTCATCAGCATTTGATCTTCCACTACAGCTGAACTTTGAGCTGCAGACCCGTTTCCAGACTTTAAACACTGGAAAGCACATCAGTACCTAGCTCTTCCTTCTTTCACATATTTTCAAATACGTCTGCATAAGATGAATACATAAAATATTTCCTACACAAATTCAAGAAAAAGCCAGGAAACCCAGATGTCACTGTTTTATCAAAGCACATTAGGAATTCATGTATTTTTTTTAAAAAGGATTAACCCAATTTAACATTTCAGTTAAATTACCACTGAAGGGGAAATACTGATATTTAGATAATTCATAAGGTAAACCAGACCCTGCTTTTTCTGTTTTCTTTGTTACACAGCCTTTTTAAAATAATGAAGTAGGATTAAAAAAAGCACGAGTGTAAAATAATGCCATTCCCTAAAATGCATTTACAGAATTATCTCCTTCTATCTATTTGAGAAACAAAAGAATTACCATATCAAATTGCATTACTCATCCATCTAACCCTGTAATTCCACATCTTGATAGGAATCAGTGTAAGACACTCAAAGAGGAGATAAAAAGAACCTCATATTAAGGACCAGCAAAATAATCCAGAAATCAAACAGTTTCTTCCCAGATACCTTTTAATTAAGAGCTAACGTTGCTCTGAATCTTAAGATTGTATATTCTACCATATGAACAAAGGGACTGTAATTTAATCATTTTCATCATGAGTCATTTAGCAGCTGTCAAACATTTCCAGTACTAAACCAAAAATTTTAACTTTACCTCTTTACATTCCTGTTTTACTTCGCAGCAGGTACAATTATTTTCCTCTAATGAAACAATATTCATAAGCTAACGTTCCACCTATCACCTTCCAATTAACAGCTATTACCTTCGCTGTTTGCTTCCTTGTATCTTTGTATTTGTAGCTTCTTACTTTTCAACTGTTGCTGAACACACTGGATAATCAACAGTTTTAACTGGAAGTTATTTTGCAAGGAATCACCTCCTTTCCATTTGTTACATACAGAATATTTTACTCACACAAAGCAAAATCACAAGATAAATAAAGGTTTTAAAGCCTATAACGCACTGCAAGTTTTTAACCGTAGCTTATGAACATTTAATTAAAGCAAGTTCGGCTCATGTTAGGTGTCAGCCCTGGAAACACCTTCAACTATTACCTTCCAGACCTGTTTTCCCACCTGGAATGCTTCATTATCACATGCTAGATTTCACTTATTTATACAACAAGCTTTTATCCCCCACATACAATCTCTAGCTCCCCTAGCATCTTCTGGCTATTTCATTGTTTCTGCTGTATGGGCATTTAGATTCTACATTACTATCCAAATCTTATTATACATCAGTGGGACAAATGAGTGACAGCCTGACCCAAAAGATCTTGTCATGCCTTATTATGCACGTCCCTTAATAAAATACACAACACAACTTATATCTATATTTTGTTTCTCCAAGCATTTCTCAGAAAAACTATGCAAAGCGACTTCCGCTAGGTTTTAAGCAATTCTTCAAGAAGACTGCAACACTGCTGTTCTAGTCTTTAGGATCCCAGAGGAATTCCAAAGTCTCATGCCACGTGTAAAAAAACAGAAGTAGTACTACACATACCCTGTCGGTGCAGTTCATTTCAAAGAAAATATCGCCTAAATTTTGGTACAACTAGGGCTCTGTACTGGTTTCAGTAAATGTGTCGCATATAAAGATTTAATTTGACAGGAACAGACATAAACACAGATTCTATCTTCACATTTTAAAATAAATTACAATACAATTTCGTTTAGGACAACTAATTAGTCATACTGGCACCTACAGCTTGCATTTTCCAATTAAAAATGTACTAAGAATGTGCATATGCATAAGAAGGGTGAATCAGACTTTTATAGAAAAAATCAAGAATATCTGTAATTCTAGTGAATGTGCTTGTCTAATTGTATAATGAAATGGCAACATTTGGCAGAAAAAAATATACAAATTCAAAACCTGACTTTTCAATTTGTTTCAGGGTCCACTAAAACAACTCTGGCAATCTCACAAAGAGCTCTCATGCAACCTACCAAATAGGGATTATTATCTTTGATAGTACGCATTCTTAAACTTGCACACTACTTAAAAACAATTAAATTGCATGAAATTTGTGATTATTCCAGCTGTATGAACTAGTTAAGTAATACACATGACTCTTTTTGCACCTTTACCCGACCTACCTGTCTGTCTGTAGCTTCCAAGTTCGAGTATGCTGAGCTGCATCCCCATGGTGCTGCTGGTGCAAATGCTGCGGATGCCGCCTTTGCTGCTGCTCTTGCTGGACTTCTACCCAACAGGGAGGGACAGTGGCTGAAAACCGTGGCGTCAAGGTCTCAAAACGGGTCAGTTCCACCAGGGATGTCAGTGTTTCAAGAGAAAATGGTTGGTCCACCAAAAGATCAACTCCTGAATAATTACAGAACATACATTAATTACTACATAGATTTTTTTTTTTCCCCAGAACGTCCTATAAACAGTTTGAAATATATCCAAACTGCTATAGGTAAAATTAAGTACATGTTATGTACAAGAAAAAAAAAAAACAAGAAACAACCCACCCCACCCCCCCAAAACAAAAAAAAACGCACCACCACCAAGAAACCTAAACCACAAAAAACCCGACGACAACAAGAACAACAAAAAAACCAAACACAAGCAACCAAACAACCCTAGCCTTGAAGCCGGTATCCTCTGAAGACAGCTCATTTGGAATACCTTTTCTACGTACTGAGAGCTCTGAGCATGCTGTCTGGGATTCAACCAGAAGCATCAAGAAAAAGTAATTAGCCAGCTATACTCCGATGATGTAAAGCTGATTAAAACTTTTTTTTTGATACCTCAATTGACTCAGATTAAAAAAAAAAAGAAGTTTTCTATTTCATGAAAACAGACATATGGAATTACTATGCAATTGTAACATTTTTATCACTGTTTAAAACATTACTTTGGCACCTGCTTATCAATATAGACTTGTTTTATGGTGGATTACTAGAATGTTTTAGAAGGCTCTCAATTTAGCTTAAAAGAGGGGTATGGGAAAAACAAACATGCTTTATGTAGTGCACTTAAAAGACACTGGGCCTAGACAAGTATTTTGTCTTCTTGTCTTCATATTCAAGTCTTGTCCTGAGGAAACAAGGATATTAGTTGAAGAAGTACTGAAAATTAAAATATCCCAGGGAGACAAACACCTAAAGAAACATTACAAAGGAATTCTGAAAATAATCAGGTTTCCTCAGACAAAAAAAATTGAAAACTTGAGGGGAAAATAAGATATGCACAATGCCAATTCTCTTACATTTTGTGCATTTTCTCTAAAAATGCATTTTGGAGAAAATCTTTTATTTGTAAGGAAATGATGGTTTTCAAAAGGAGAAAGTTTGCTACCTGACTACTACTGTCACCACCCCAGGGGAGTGGTGATGGGAATTAAGTACACCAACACAAATACCATCCCTCCAGTGAAGTCTGAACCTAGAGGCTATCTTGCAAAACAAGACAGGTTGAAAACAGAATTATAACAAGATTACATCCTCCAGCTTGAGAGTAGAAAGGCACATGCAATTCTTCCTGAAAAGTGGTGAAGCTCAAGATGAGATACCCAGAGTCAGGCAAAAAATTGACTCTCATTGCAACAACTATGATTTCTACTTTTCAATCTAGGAGGCAGGAAAATGCTGAAGAGATTAAAAATGAAAAATGCTTTAGAAATTTAATTTCAATAATACAGCAAACACCTTCATTTTATGTGAACTGTATTGCTAGATGACACTGCAATGAGAAGTGAGATCATAGTTCAAACTGCGCAACAATTCTATCTTTGAGTAGACTGGATTTTTTTCTGCTCCATTCTCCCTCCCCCTCCAACAGAAACAATTACAAATTCAGAGTATTCAGAGCAACCACACGTAATGTAGTATCAACCCCCAAAATTGAAAAATGAAGGACTTAACTTTCCAGTGCTGTCAAGTACACTTGGCTTCTTTTGCAAAATTACATTATTTTTGTTATATTGTAATAGTGAGTTATGACAAGCTGAAGTTCTAATACCAAACTTGAAAAAAGGTTTTAAACTGCTCAGGAAAACTAATATTCTTTTTCAATTTGCTTCTAAAGAAAGCATTACTTTAGATCACTTCACCACAAAAAACCCTCCGTTCCTTAAAAAGAAAGAATAATTTTAACCTAATCCAAGATTTACGGCTCAGTAAGGTTAACATATTTCCTTCTAAACCAATACAATTTAAGATGTATCCAAGTTGTAAAAGCAGGCTAGAAAATAAAATTTAAGAAATGCACTCCAGAATGCCAACAACAGAGAAAGATAAACACAAAACCAAAACCCACAATATATATGAACAATATATGGACAAAAGCTCATGCTTGTTGCTGTGGTTTCTATCCTGATTACGGCATCTTTTAGCTACAGTTTCAGAGAACACCAGTGATTTCATAAAAACACCCTACTGCTTCCTGCCATCAGCTGTGATCGAGATATATAGATCAAGACTTTATGCTCAGTCAGATCTGCCTAGGAGTTAATTTCCCCAAACAGAAAGCTTTCTATTGAGCTATGTCTCTGAAAAACATGCTAAGACAAAAGTGGAAGAAAACATTTTTTTCTGCCGTTTAGTACTTTGATTAAAAGTGAAGCAACACTGATCTTATAAATGTTGGGGGCAATATCTAATCATGATCCATACACACGCTGACAGCTTCATTACTTAGAAAATGTTTGCACAGTCCTAGCAATCACTCACACATTATATGCTAAGAATCCAGTATTATTGACTTAACCTGGATAGTCCAGACTAAGAGCTCTGCAATCACTGTTTGGTTTCAACTCTTCCCCCCAGCCCCCTCATTTTCAGCACTGGCTTCCTATGACTATTAAGCTTCTCCCACAGCTTTTAGTGGCTCAGTTTGATGCCACAGCAGAACAGTACTCAATTTATTTGATAATTACTGTGTATCCAACAACTCTTTGGAAACCATTATAGACCAAGCTCAAGCAACACTACACTCTCCAAATTATATGATTACCTAAAGGAGGACCTGTGGCTTATGGACAATCTAAAGATACAGCTACTTTGAAGTCTATACTTAAGTAAATCCCTTTCTTGTCCCAATAAGCCATATTTAAGCCTATACTGAAGGCTGGATGGGGAGGAGAAGAAGAAAAAAACAACAAAAAAATTTGCCCATTACAGTACTGGCAGAATTTAAACAGTAATTATTATCAATTTGATTCATCAGGTTAGTCAAAGTTACCATTTGATTGGAAGTCATTTAAATCTGCTGATAAGCTATTGTCCAGGGAATGCATCTATTGAAGCACATCTATGTCCTGGATATTCATAATCTCTTTATTGCTTTATTTGCCATTAGCAAAAGAAGAAAGGTGCAGAAGAAAGCCACAGACTTCTCTCCCTCACATATGGATGACAATGGTTTGTCACCTAGTGGTTTTCAAACTTGAGGAATGGCTCCTTTGGTGAAAAAGAGGAAGAACAGGAGAAATTCAGTCCTCAAAGCAGAGAAGACGACAGCAACTGCTGTACCGCTGCTAACAGATAACTTTATGACAAAAAGCACTTCTTTCCCTCTCTTGATTGCCTCTTGTGGAGTAAAATCAGGGGTCATACAAACACAGCACAACACAACATAAAGTGTTACAAGGCTGGCAGCAAGCAGGGGTTTGGGGAGAAAGACAGCAAGTAGCCTGTTGACAACAAAGATGCCATGATCCAGAATGGTCCCTGCACTGCCACTCAGTCCTCTCCCAGCGTTTTCTGTCCCCTGCAGCTGCAGGCAAAGACACCCCCCACCACACGCACACACAAAATTAACATCACTTCTCTGAAACAGTCATAGCTACCTGAATGGTTTGTTTCCATTGTATCATTGCTTTATCTTTATGCTTTATATTATTTATTCTTGTAGTTCATATTCTAGGTCATCTATTCCCAGTATATCCCTATTTCTATCCCAACAAACATGACCAAAACCTCCAAACTCCAACCCAACTGAAATAATTATGCTTTGTGTCTCTATCTTCAACAATTGCAGGTTAGAAGAAAATGAAAAACTTAATAGTTTTACAGCACGCTCATAAACAATTCCTTTTAAAACTCAAAGCAAGACACTGTGTATATATACACACACACACACTTTAAAAACCTCAGCATGACTCAAATCTTCCTCAGGCTTAACCAGAAAAATCAGATTTGTTGCTAAGTTTTAGTAGCAAGTTATCTACACTAAAACATCTTTGATGATGGCTGAGAAAAGATCAACAGGCCCACACAGGAGCTCCCATAACCTGCATACTCACTGTTCCCCTACAAGCAGGAGGACCTGCTCACACTTCTCCCCTTCTACCTGACTGTAGAAGGAACAACCCTCTTGCCCAACTCCCTATTTTACCTAAGTGGGCCAGGATACTACAAAAGGCAGCAGACTGCTGGCAGGACTGGTATATGAGAACTGCAGTAAAGACAAGACCGAAATATGATGTTTAGAATAAAAATAGAATTTGGACGATTAGAAACAATTATTTCTTGCTGTCCAAGGGCAGACAACCTTTCCAGAAAGCAAACTAGTAGGTAAATGACAGCAGAATTTGAGCATAGCTTATAAGCTCATAAGCTTAATTTATCAACTGCAACTGCACTGCTTGAAGTATAGAGAGCATCAATTTCACTGCATGCAACAATACCTGTTGAATACATGTTTTGTACAGTTTTATTAAGTAGAGCTCTACAGCTTCTGCATGAAACTTTAAGGCAATTTTACATAATGAACATACAATTTTAATTCCAAATAAAGAGCTCAAGCCTATTTAAACTATGAGGGAAGCTCAGTGCCTGCACAATTACCTGTTTTTCTGTGTCTGCCACACTTAAAATAACATGTAGAGATTGGAAAGCTAACCAGTTATACAAATGTTTGGTTTGGCTTTCCCCCCCCAAATCGGGAACCGCTAAAGTGTTATGCTTGTTCATAACCAGTGATAGACATACAGTAACTATAAAACTCCAATTTCAGGCAGCAAAAAATTATAAAGCAGCATGCTATTAAATACCTCAAAATCATCTGGATATGCAACTTCCAACAATTACAAAAGCATGTTTACTTACGATATATTTAAACACGTGCAATTTACCTGTAATGCCTGGACTAGAAGGGTTAGATAAGGGCTTGGTGCCTTCTGATGACTGTTCTACACTTTTGGAAAGGGATCCATCTACAAGTATATCAGCTTCATCTATGTCATCACAGGTGCCTCCAATCTGAAGGAAATGAAGTTCTCCACCTAAAATCATCACAGACAACAAAAGAAACAAGTTTACACAGGTATACAGCTAAACTCAACTCACAAGACAGGCTTCCAGTTGAAGTGCTACACAATTATGACAGTAATTATGCAGGACCTGAAACCAGTACAATTATACAGGAATACTCATTTTGCTTTACTGCTACAAATTTTTTTTCACAGTAAATGCAAAATGGAACTACAAAAATACTGCCTCCAGTTGTGAAGAGCATCAAAGGAAAAAAAGATGTTAGAGGGGTCAAAAGGTAATTAAAAAAACCTCAAGAAAAACCCAAAATCATAACCATTATGACACTTTACATAATCCAAATCATGCTTTAAACAGAAAATATTCCATCATGTCAACTGAAGGCCTATACTACCTCATTTGTACAGGTTGCATAAATTTCCTTTTAAAGTTCAATATTTGAGAACTGAAAAATCACTTCCCCACTGAACTCTCCTAACTGTCTCTTCACATTATTTCATCAAACCTGGAATTACAACACTGATCAGGCGAACAGTCAAAAAAGCAAGTCCAAAATTTTCAGTGGACAATGTTTTGATGAAAGCTTGAAATCATGCAAGGAAATTGCCCATTATTCACCACTACCGATACACATAGACGAATTCTGTCATTGACAGAAGTCACAGAGAAGGAATGCTTGATTTTACATAAAGTTGAGGGGAGAGGAAGGGCTGTTAACTGTTTCAGAAGTTACAAAAAACCTAATCAGTAGGATTTAAATAGAGAGGAAAATCCCAGTGTAGGCCTTCCATAGTTTTTCTGAAAATTGATTACAGACTGCCCTTTAGCATCTGACTAATGTTATGACAAACCCTGTTATGCAAATTACCCAGGTTATCTAAAACAAATTTGAGACAATATACATAATAAAAACCCAAGATAAAAGCATAATCAGCAGGTACATGTTCTGCACCATGAGGGTCGAGGAGAGCGAAACGGAGAGTGATAGAGAAGCACAGCGAGGCAGAGAGCGAGCATGTGAGAGGCACGCACAAAAGATGCGCAAGAGGCACAGAGAGAGCTGGTACAGGCTTGGTTTTGGATCTCAGTAAGAAAGGCCTGACAACAAATGGCTTAATAAAATAGCTGTTTTAACAAGACAGAATAAAAAGAGGAAAATAATTGCTCAAATGACCAAAAAGGAAGAACCTCTCCACGGACAGGATCTGCGCAGCATGCTGTGGGAAAATCCACCCGGGGTCTGGGTGATGCTGCATGAAAGCAGGGCTCCCAGCATCTAAAGAGATGTGAGATTTTCTCCCCATCCATATTTCTCTTCTTATTCTATCTTACTAAGACAGCTAGTTCATTAAGCCATTTGTTGGTGGGGCCTTTCTTATTGAGATCCAGTAAGAAGCCTGCACTGCCCATCTCAGCCCCAGTCCATCCAGCCTCGGGGCAGAACAGTACATCCCAAGCAGACTCCAAGAGTGGATGGGAAAAAATATTTCTAGCAAGTAACACTTACAATGAATTTTCTTGAAATTAAACTGCTCACAAATGAGCAGTGTTCCTCAAACAAAGAGAATTAGGGACACATTAGATAACATAGACCTTGAGAGCTTCATTTGGTAATAAGCCAAACGTCAGTTTGTTTCCCGTTCTGTTTACTGCTCAAAGATCAATGATCAGAATGATCTCAATGATCAAAACAGATAATCTCCTGTCCTGGAAATGAAGTACACCCTCATGTAATGGAAGTTCAACATACTAACTTGCACCATCTGCCAGTTTTATGGCTCACAGCAGGAGAAACCCTGAAGAACTTCAGCAAGTTGTGGGTTTTTCTAAGGGAAAGTTATGCCACGGTCTCACTTATTCTGTAGGTGGTTGGGTAGGGTTTGGTTTTAAAGAAACAAAACCTTGGTTCTCAAACCAGTTTCTGAGTTTCTGTCACTAATTAACAGCAGCAAAAAATGTCCTTACCATTTTATCCATACTACAAGAGGAAGAGAGAGTCGCAATCCACGCATTCCTGAAAGATTCCAGCACTTTTCCAAGAAAAATTCTGTGCTAAACTTGAGGTATCTCACTTCCTCAAATTTGTTTTTAAAAAGCTTCTGTAAAGAAGTTTATCATGAACTTCAGTTATACTGTATGAGCCTATAAAATTACTAGTGCTTATGCACGCTTGCCAAAAACCTGCAGGTGGCTTTGCTTCTGTATCTCAAAGGAAGCGTTTGCTCTCATAGAACATCCAAAGACGACCTTCTGATGATGCATGCTTAATTACTTGTTTCAAAGATACCACAGTTCCTAGAGTCAAGTGCCAGGAAAAAAAAATGTGTGCAAAAGTCAATGCTGCTTTGCAATCCCAAGCTTCCTTCTGGCAAAACAGTTACCGGTTCCAGGAAAGCAGCATTGGCACAAGTTAGAGAACATGTCAAAGACTAGGCCACTGCAGTCAAAGCCAATCTGGTGAAATGTTCAGTATCCTAAACGTATCCTGCACTCTGGCAGGAACCTGGAAGAGTGACACAATTGTCGACAGCAAATCACAACACGAGACATAGTTGAACAATACCCGAATAGTTAAAGGAATTAAGAAAACAAAGCCATACCACAGGAAAACTATCCACTAAACAACTTACAGTCCTCCTCGTCTCACCACTGGGCTGTAGAGAAAGGGTTCGCTCTAAACAGTTCTGCCTTCATAGGCAATGGGGTCTAACGGGATTGGGGGTCTAACGGGATTTTCAAACACTTGAAAAATGTCCTCAAGCAAGCTTCCCCAAAACCTCACTCCAACAGAATTTATGTTATTCTTGGAGATTTCATCTGTAAAATTCCATCCCAGCTTACGAAAAAATAGAATGCAATTGAATAAGGACAAGTGAAAGTTACTATGCCTAGCAAGAAATAATTACATGCACTCTTATGGGATGAAGAAAAATCAGCTAGCCAGCAGTTCTGTAAGAGAGGCTCTTGTGAGTCAGAAGATAAACCTGATTGAATTTCCTGCTCAAAAGTGCAAACATCCTACTATGTATACAGACACATGGTATGTACAGACTGCAGAGCTGCTACGGAATTCTTCTGTTCCATTCAAAGACATCTGTAGGATTACTGTGCCTGGTTTTGGATATCTCATCAAGAAACATGTAGACTGACTTGAGCAGGTCTTTTGGGGGGGAGAGTAAGGGGTTTTTTTTCTTTCAAAGCCCCCAAGGTAAGTTTAAAAGGATTGGAGATATTCAGCTTAAGAAAATAAATGGTTGGAGAAGGACAGTACCTAAATAAATGCTGTCTTCCCTTCCTTTTTTGAAGCAATCTCTTTCCCATGTTCATAAAGGATAGTACAACAGTAATGACTCCAATCAGCAAACATGATACATGCTAAACACTAGGAAAAAAAAAAAAATCATCATCATAAAGGACAGCATGCAGTAGAAGAAATTTTGTGAGTAGGCTGTTAAATCTCCATGTTGAAGATCTTCAAAAACAGGCTGATCAGTACTCTGCTTCTGAATAGGCAAGTGTAATCGATCCTGACTTGCAGATAATCTCTTAGCATCACTTCCAGCACTAATTCTGATGTGGAAAAAACTTGACCTCTCCCCAATCCCATTAGACCCCATTGCCATGAAGGCAGAAAACTGAAAACACTAAACTGATTCCTGAACTTCAAATACAGCAGTATGCAAGGCTGAAAAAGCCTAATTACATGGAAGAGACAAAGAAGATATCCAAACAAAACCAGAAGAAAAGCTACAGAGAGTAATTAATACACTACATACAAGTCAAAAGCAAGAGATCTGTTATAATTGAAAAGTACAAGATTCGGGGGAATTGATTCTCGAATATATGAAAGTGTCATCCAGTTCTGCCAGGCTTGCAACAAGAAATATTAGCATAGACATAGCACACTCCAGTCTGAAAAAACACCTTCTCCAACAACGGGGAGTGACTATAAAAACTCTTATTATAATGTAACACTGCAGGCAAGAATTTAGGAGAATTATGTATATCGAAAAGAACATTAAAAAAAAGAATAATCACAAAACAAACACCTAAAGAAAAAACTGCTTATAAATGAAAGTGTAAAACAATCAGTAAGATACAAATGTACATGATGGGTTACATTCAGTGTTCGTGGTCTTCTTTTACAGCTTTCAACTCTGACTAATTCAGAAACAGACAATTTCCAAAAGAACTGATCCAATGTGATCTAGGATTCACTGTGTGTGAGAAGCTGATTATGAACTTCAATTGGAGCTAGGTCTTTGTCTGTCAGCTCTGAAGCAATATAGGCAGAAAAGAGAACTGCTAGAACAAAAAGCACTGGAGTTCTTTCTTATGATGAAAACAAGTAGAAAAACTTCTCTCCCCCCCTGCTTTTCCCCAAACTACTTCCAAATATCAATTAAACTGAAAATATAACTAAATTAATTTAGTGAACTACTGAAGGACCACTTAAAAATCAAATTCACTTTCTGTTGAGAGATTTTTTTTAATGCAAAGATGAATACTAGCATTTTCAACAGGACTCAACAGTGAAATGATTTACTATAAAACCTTCACTCAACACAGACATCCAAAAAACTAGATTTGTGAAAGAATTAGGTTGCAAATTTCAGGCGAGCACAATCCAGGAATGCTTCACTCACTAGAAAGAACTCAAGCACTCAAACAGATCATACAAATTTTAACATCTACTCAGTAAGACAGTCTGGAAGGAAAGTACCTGCTTCACCACAACACCCTGAACATTTCCACTTCTTGTAGCATTTGTTTGAAATGCCACCTCACTTTCCTACTCGGTAATATTTCTTCAGAGAGCTCCAGACACTGAAGTTCATAACTTGACAAACGAGAACGTCAGTGGTGGTGAAACACAGAAACTTGACAATTCTAATGATCTTTTCAAAAATACTCCCAGAAACACAAATATGCACAATTTTCAAAACTGCCAAAACAAATACAAGCAGAAATTTGCACCTTTATGTTAGATAAAAAAGGAACATTTCAGGTATTTCCACCTCATTCCACATTATAAAGCAAAGTTCAACAAAATGGCCCAAATGGCAAATACAGCTATGCAGCTAAACTAAGGAAACAATCCAAAACAAACCCAACAAAAGAAAAAAGCAGAATGTATACTGTGGACCGTTTTCTTAAGTAATTTTTGGTAGGACTGTAATTTAAAAAAAGAAATATAATTAGATGAAAACTGAGATATAAAGAAGGCGGTAACAACTGTAGCTCTGGAAATTTATGCATCCAATACAAACTATATCTGTTCCTCTTAAACACCAGATAATAGGCTTCAAATACCATCAAAAGACCACCCTGCAGCTGTAACCCTATTCAATAACAACACCTCTCAGCCTACTGCATAGTTTTTACTTTTTTTTTGGATGCTACAAGAGCAGAATTTAAGCTGTTTCACATTAATAATGCAAGACACATTGTTTAAAACCCCCATATGATAACACACAAAGCATTACTGAGAGGGGATATTAACTATAGTCTACCTTGGCCAAGGGGAAAAGAAGCAAGCAAAATACAAAGAGATTAAATATACTTGCATGCTTCCCTCCAGAGGTCAACTCCAGGTAACCCTTGCAGAAACAGAGAAGCACCTGAAGCTGACATCAAGAGGTAACGTTTTGAAGTTGCATAATTATTCCCAACTCACAAAGATGAATGACCTTAAATGCAGGTCTAAAACATCTTTACATAAAACCACTCAAAACCTGAAACACCCATTCACAGAGAGGTTTCTTTTCAGTTACATCTTTAAAGGCAGTATGGGAAAAATTATATGATCTACCAATGAAAATGTCAACAAGCAGGAGCAGCAGAAAAAAAAAAAAAGGCTATCGTGCATCCAAAACTTTCAGACATTAAAGTACCTCTTTACCTACTCCCACCATCCAAGCAAGTAAACAGGAAAGAATATATTTGCTCAGCTTATATTCTTGAATAGTTTCCTAACAACATCCAAGCATTTCCAGCGCATGTAGGTTCCAAATCTTCTACTTAACATTTTCACTTATGTCTTGGCACTAGAAGGTACTTGCTAGAAGGATTAACGTTGAATACATCAGTGAATATAGCTATTCTACCTTCAACATGTAGCTTCCTAATGCTGGCAGACTGCAGGCACCATCCCATATGTGGTAGTAATATAGACGAGCAAAGACCTTAAAGTGATTTTGGAAGAAGCCTAAGAAAACTGCATTTAAGAAAAAAAAAAAATGATAGTAATTTAAAAAAATAAATCTTCAGCCACCTAGCAGATAAGCAAGCAATTTTAACCCACTTACAGCAGAAAGATTAAGGGATGATTATGATTCAACACAACAAAAATTATGCAAAACCTGTTCCTTATATCAAGTTATTCATATGTACAATAAGATACAGGATCAAAAAGTTATACTAATAGTTGAGCTTTTTGATTTGCTCTTTTTTGTAGTATTGCTAAATTTTATGCAGTACAGTTATTTATAAACATTTAAGATCAGGTAATTCTTTACAAAGCTTCTTATTTTGGCACAAATGTTACGGCTCTGAGGCTTCAGACTTATCTGGTATCAGACAAAGAAATCCAGACTTCTAACCTACATTGGTCCCTAAATATTTATGATCGCTTTGGACTTAATTTCTCATAAGTGAGAAAAATTATGCCAGGGGAAGTGACTGAAATCTTAAAAAAGGAACAGAAATCGAAAGCTTCTAAAGACATTTAAATGACGAAAATAATGAATTCTGAAGTTCATTTGAATTTGGTTGCAGAGCAGAAAATCAAGTTCCAAATACAGGTGCAGTGGGTATAAATGAAAGATAAGAATAATCAATGGATAAAAAAATGAAGTTACCAAAGTATTATATTCAAAAGAGGAAACTTCAGGGCAGAGGGATACCTGTGGCATATTGGACTACAGAAGAAAAAAAAACAAAATCCCAGTCATCCTAAAGGCAGCAAGAACAGAAGAAGTCACAGCAAAACTATTTATAAACTACTAGATGGGTATATAACACTCTCAGAGAGGAAAAAAGACAGAGATATTTACTGAAAAAGCAGAATAATGTGCTTGTCTATTATGAGGAAGATGAAATATTCTCCAGTCAGTAACAGAGGTGGTGATTATCTAGGCAGAAGAGACAAATACTCCTACATACACAGAATAAATGCTCCCAACTCAACAGACCTGCGTATCTTAGACTCAAGGTCCCAAAACAGGTTTAGATAATACCAAATGCTACAAGAACATAATTAACATACATGCTAACATTGGATGGGAAAGTACCATGCACAGTAACAATAAGCCCTTTAACTTTTATCATTAAAACACAAGAAAGACAGAATAGATCTGATGTAAGAAAGAAATGAATAGTAGTAAAATTCTGTAGAAAAAAACCTTAGCAAGGTTTAGGTTTTTTTTTTAAAATGTGACTGCAGTTTGATCAGCATAGGTAAGACGTCAAGTATAGGTAAAAGCATTACTAGTTAGTAGCAACTATTAGTTGCTAACACGCGATTTTTCATCCATACTGATGAAGCAAATCTAAAATCTCCACTACTAAAACTCTTGGTAGGTAAGTGATAAACACAGGGCCCTTAACAGACATGAGATTTTTACCAGAAGCTTGACTTTATCTGTTGGAAATAACAGGTAAATCTGATTTGAGTTTAAAAACTGCTCATAGGATGACTGTGCAATCAACATGACACCACCATGAAAGGAGGAAATATGTCAATTAAATTCTTTTAGTAGAGCAGAAACTTAGATTCTCACATTCTATAATATAATCCAAATACAGTGAAATCAAGAATTAAAAAAAAAAACAAAACAAAAAAAACCCAAACATTTTAAAGAAAAGTCTTACCTTTGGTGCATGCACATAATCTGTCTGTGCCCGAACAGTATATCACAGAGACAAACATATCTGGTTCCTCAGTGCCCTCTTTTTTAGGTGGCTCCACTTTGGCCAGAATTTCGAAGTTCGAAAGATCTAGTATTTTTACATATCCTCCCTGAGTAGTTATTACCAGGTGCCCAAGAGTAGAGATCTCAGATCTTCTTTCTCTCCCACTGCCATTTTTAGAAGTTAATTGTATTTCCTCTACAGGCTCCTCACAGTCATCCTCTCGATTATCCAATATATCTGGTGGGAGCAAAATCATTGAGGTAATTGTGTCTTGGGGGTCTTTGATATGCTGGATTTTTACTGGTTCCTCCTCTAGGGTAACTATTCTAGTGGCATAATTCATCTTATAAAGCACTAGGTATCCACCACTAATACTTCTCTGCTCAGGTTGAATTATTAAACGAGTTGGTACATCTGCTGGTGATTCATGCTGGATTACATCAATACTCGTGCCATTCACTACAGCAAGACTTGATTCTAGTTCCCCCTTCCTTCTATTACATAGTGCCGAGTTTAATTTATTTAAATTATTCAAGGCCTCTACTTGATTTATTGCACTCAGAGATTCGACAGGACAAGTCCGCAGTCCTACTAACAAGTGAACTCCATCTGCACAAGGAGTGATTGAATCTACACACAGGTTCTCCTCCTCTGCAAACTTTGGCAGACGCAGGCACTGAACCAAAGTCCCAGGCTTGGGAACCATAGAGCTCCACTTGTCCGAGTCCGGAGAAGTTAGGTTGGCTGCAGCATCTGCAAACTGCTGAATGTAAGTCACAGGGGGATCCTGTAACAGCAACTGTTCCTGACTGTCCAGCTCCATTTCAATGATCTGTGGAACTGTGAAACCATCATCATGTATACTTTTACTCATAATATTGTTCATCTGTGAAAAGAGTTTTCCTGCTTTTTCATCAGACTCCTTAATGCTGTATAGCAGCAATACAGGTAAAGTCCTCCTTACCAGAGGGGAATTCAGTTCTGAGTTAGTGCAGGATTCATTGTCAGTTGAGCCCTGTTCCGAGACACTCTCACCTCGAGTCCTACTTAAGCCATCCAGTGACCTCTGAGAGTTACTGCTAACAGGAGAGGTAGCAGGTGATTTGTATGTTAATAGACCTCCAGCTAATAAACAAGGAAAGGGAATGTTGTGTTGTTCTAGATGTTTTTCCTTCATCTTTTCACTCTTACAGTTGGCCAAACAGGGATTTGCTCCAAGTTCTTCTAGATCCTTAACCGTGTCTTCCAGAACATTTGCAACAATTTCCCACTGAAGTTTTTCAGGTTGCTGAAGAATGCTGAGAGCTGTTATATCAAGGCTGACTTCCATAGTTTCTTTTTGTGATGTATGCCCTTTAAAACAAAAATGTTTAACATAATATATGTTCCAAAAAAGAGGAATCCTATTGCATATATTATGGACTTATCCTCATAATTAAGCAAAAAGTCACTGTTCTACAGTTTCAATATGTTAAAACATTCCATATGTTCAAGATTTGACAGTCAAGAAACAGTAAGAGGCCCAGAAACATTCCTTCCACAAAGACTAATGGTTCTCCTAATTTTATCAACAAGAGTGCAAGTAAAGAGAACAGGACATTAGCCTTTGTAAGAAGTCTCCCAGTAAACAGCATTATCTTTCTACTGATTATTCTACTTAGGCTAGACAACCATACTGAAATCCAACTAATCTAATCAACTCAATTCATGTTCTGCCATATATTATTTCCCTTCCTTCCTAGACAATCCAGTACCATCAAAAATCTGCAATTCTGCAGATTCATTCTCCAATGTTAACTGAAAAACATGTCATTTTATTCTAAAACTTGATACTTCCCACCACGTAACAGACCACCTAACAGAAAGAACTCCAAAATATTATAAAAGAAAACCCAGTAATAACTTAAAAGACACAGACTGATCAAATTAAACAGTACTGCAAGAACAACAATGAATCAGAAGAGTTCAACTAAGTAATGTAGAGATTTAAAAGATTACAAAGGACACCATACAAACCCAGATTAAGCGGTGACTTAAGCATAAATGACAGAACACCATCTTTGCTAATACTTTCATTAAAAAAAATCCTTTTCACATCTCAAGTCTATTTCCTTGTGTGTATGCACATTCTTTTTTTCCCCATTAGCTGATCCTTACCCAAAGATGTAAACTGGATTATGGAAAATAAGCAAGTAATCCTCCCTCCCACCAAAATTTCTGATTCAACCTTTAAGAAAATAACACAAGAACACCATGCATAGCACTGTTCTGCTTCCATATGAAAATTTTATTCAGGAAGAGAAATACTCTATCAAAGTGCATACCCACAGGGAAGCAATCAAGATACAGGAACTCTCTCTGACAATCCCCTGAATTTAAAGGGTTTTGTACAGCTGTAATTTGTTCCCGTTCTAGGTAAGTTCTTTTAACTTGGTTTGTGTGTTTTATTGGCAGCAAGATAAGCAATGCTTGTTGTCAAATAAGACATTTATTAACCAGCAAAGTAGGGTTTTTCTTTTCTCCTGTATGTAATCTCTCCACCACACAGTGACTTAAATATTGGCATTGCTTTCAAGGTCAATCTTTTTCCTTTTTTCTAATACAGTCAATACAATATCTTTGGGTTTGACAGGGCTTTTTTAAAAGCCTGAGAAGAACCATTTTCCTCCTGAGCTCTAAACTGTTACATGGATCAGATATAACCTACCTGTCACCGATTCCGATCTGGAATGCTCTTCACTGTCTGAATCCTCCAGTAGGTCATCACTGGAGAAAAAAAAAAAAAAAATTAAAAAAAGCATGAATGACACCACATACACTGTAGCTACATTCTTATTTTTAACTAAATTTAAAAAAAAATTGGTAAAAAATACAATGTGTGTTATAAACTGGCATTTCTGTTAGTCAGCATTGTACATCCATTGATCAGTGGTCAGAGACACTAACTATATAAAGATTTTTTTTCTCCATCATTAAACCAGTAGACCAGCTTTCCATTTGCCTCATTCTACTATTGTAGTCCCAACAATTCAGACATAAATGGAATGAAATGAAAGCCGGTTCTCAGGAATCTTTCCAAGAAAAACAAAAACAAACAAACAAAACCTCTGAAAACTGGTGACACCTTCTTCAAAAGTTCCTCAAAATAGTCTCTGAAAGGTAGAGCTGCCAGACTGATCTTCAATTCTACCAAGGCGATTTTGTAGCTACTACAGAAAGGGTGTATGAACAGTGTGTTGCTTTTAAAAATACCACCAGATTAATCATTTTTTTCATAAAAGCAGATTCTGTTCAAGATACCTCTTCAAGAGAAATAGGCCCTTCAGCAGTTCTAAGAATATATGAAGATTTTACGCATCTGGCTTTTCCAATATAAGAAACATTTTCCTATTACAGGCTCTTCTCACACAGGAGGAATAGTAATGCCTTTGCAGCTTCAGGTATAACTACTCACAGTACGAAGTTAGATCCCAAATTTCAACAAACTGCATGCTTCTTCCTCACACCTAAGAAACAGATCTTGTTTGGCTCAAACCTGATCAACCTTCACTTCATGACAAGACAGCAGCAATTCAATACTTAGATTCTTATCCAGCTTCCCCTTGAGTGGGAAAGTGATAGTAAATTTCATATAGATTAAGTGAAGTGAAAGACGCTTAGTTCTCAGCAGGTTCGTAAAATCTTAATTCTTTAACTCTCAAGGAGTTTACAGCCCTAAAGCTACAGTAAAAGTCTAGGCCCCAGCAGCTGTTAGGCTCCACACTCTGATGTTGCCCACGTTTCTACGTACCCTCTTCAGAAGAGCAAGCTTCATATTTGCTCTGCAGCACTGTAGGAATCACACCAAGCTTAAAACCAAAGATTACTTTTCCTGTGCATGTAGCAGTACTGTTACTTTCCATGATGCTGAAGTTTAAGAAGAAACATTCAGAAAACTAGCAAGACTCCCCAAATACCTTTTGTCCTTAGTTTTCCAACAATTATTCACTCTTTTGTTTGAGTTTTGGTAATATGAGAAAGGAGTTTCTAGTAACAGACCTTAAGAAGCATAAATGAAAGAATACTGCTTTTTCTCACATGGCACCTTCTAAGCACTGGCATACCCTCTAGCTTATCTGAAAGTTTGCAAAAGGACTGTCTTAATTGTTTAGAGTCTGTATGCGTGTGTTAAAGGTACAAAATAAAAGCAATTCCTAGCACACCCACAAAATTTATTTTCAGAATGACATAACCAGAAATTACGGAGAAGCAATCAGAAAAAAACATGTTCCAGAAGTCCACGAGTAGCCTTTACTTTCAAAGCCTGAAATGCATAATCCATAACTAAAGTGAAAAACTGTTCCAAAACTTATATTCCTTTCTCTTTTTCCTCTGCCTCTGGAACATCAACACAGGGCAGCAACGAGATTTGGTATCTCTCTCTTAGTCAAGTATAAAAACTGAAACAGCAGGA